TTTAAAAAAAAAAAAAAGAGGAAAATATAGATCTCAAACATAGGGCCTAAGCTTTGGAATCAGGCCGTCTGGTTCAAATCCCAGCTCTCCACTGTGCAGCCTTTGTCAAGCTAATCTCTCTTGGCTTCGATTCCTTCTCCTGTAGACACAGGGAAGCAACAGGACGTATGATTGTCATGGTCATTAGGTGAGATCCTGCACGTACGGTGCTGAGCACGTGCCTGGCATACTGCATGCACCTGTAAGGACTCACCACCACCATGACCACAGGACCATCACATTTGTACCATTTTGATGTGCAGACATTCCTGGAGTTAACAAGTGATGATGGCACTGTCACTAACAGACCCTAACACCACAGTCATGACCCAGGGGCTGTCCCTAAGGCCAGGCAGCAGGGCCTGGCCTCTGCTCCCCCCTCCTCACCTCTATGCCCACAAACCTTTTAAAAAGGTTTCTTGGAAGAATTGATAACACATGGCAAAAAGTGAAATAATTTGTGGAGCAAAACTCCCTTACTGTCCAGAAAGAAGCAACAAAAAACTCAACAAACTATTGACAAGATTTCTTGGAATGATGCTCCCATTGGCTTTCTCATTCCATACTTTACTGCTGACTTTTAAGAATCCAAAAATCTCAGGGGCACCTGAGTGGCTCAGTCGGTTGAGCATCCAACTCTTGATTTCGGCTCGGGTCATGAGATCGAGCCCCAAGTTGGGCTCCGCACTCAGCAGAGAATCTGCTTGAAATTCTCTCCCTCTGCCCCGCCCCCTGCTCGTTCTCGCTCTCTCTAATAAATAAATACATAAATATTTAAAAAGAATCCAAAAACCTCAGACTGTCCCATCATAAAAAGAAACAACAGAGGAGAGCTGAGTTTTAGGTATTCAAGTAGAGTCAACAGTCTCCAGATAGGAAGGAAGCAATTTTGGTCACTAGAATGTGGATAACCAGTCTCTGATTCCTGCCACCATCCCCCTCGCCCTACCTACTACTAACAACAGCTCACATTTACTGAGCTCTTAGTGTGTGCCAGGTATCACTTTAACACTTTACATATGTTAACCTATATAGTCCTATAATGTAGGTACTTTTATTATCTTCATTTTATAGGTCAGGAAATTGAAATACTGAGAGGCTGAACAACTTGCCGAAGGTGCCCCAGAAAAGACAAGATCCAGACTCAGACTCTAGAACCCACACTCCTAACCACTGTACTTTACTGTGTTTCTCTAGAGTACACCAGATGTCCAGCCTTAGCCCAGCCAAACAGGAAGACGAGATCAGAGAACTGGAACAAATGGAGCATGATGTCTTAAGGCAGGGCCCTAATTTCTTAATACTTACCCTGAAACTGATGACCCTCGATAACTGGATCAAACTGCAAACCAGCAGAAGAGCAAATTATGTTTCCTGATTTCTGTGATTCTCCCCAGTTCTTGAAGAACTCTTTCCCCTGTTCAATCCAGGATATTAGTTCTGGTTTGGGAAGTCCATCATCTGTCCAAAGAAGTCAGAAAAGGTAGTTTGGTTTCTTTGAACACTAAATTTAAAGCACACCAAGTTGCTTTTAAATTTTCAAAATGTACTCCTGGGAAAACATATGAGACGAGAGGTCAAAAAATAGATTATAGGTTTATGCAAGGAGGAGCAAAACTGCCGACATATCCTAACAGTACTTCCTAATCTATTTGGACCTGTTAAATCAGTTTACTGTTTAAATCCTGTCTTGGTCCCCATATATCGAGCAATATGTATTTTGTTGTGGATTTCATAAAACTCACTAGTAGCGTGCTTTGAGAATGGTGGGACAGCCCCGCAAACAACTGGAGATACCATGGGAAGACGGGGGTATGCAAAAATAAGAACTCGAATGCCTATCCTAGGAAATTTCAAAGTAGGTAGCTCCAGCTAAAATACTCTCAGAAGTCCACTGGTGACAGTGCTAATCATAGCCCAAAACATGGTTGAGTTCTGCTAGAATAAAAAGGGTTGCAAGCAATAAAATAAGCAAATGAAAATAGTTACAAGATTCTCTAATATATGACCCCATTCCCCTAATAAAATGTTTATGTATTTTCAAGTAAAACTTTCTTTCAATACTATCTCTCTCACAGAACCTAAAGTATGCTTCATAGAGTGCTAAAGGGAGATCAGTGTATGGTTCAGATCAGAGAAAGAGGGTAAGCCAGGTAATGTCTCAGGGATAAAATGTCAGAGTGGTGTAGTACATGTGGAGACTGATCACTATGTTCCAGATCCCTCCTTGCCCTCTGAAATCTGACTTCAATCCCAAAAGAATTCTAAGGCTGCTTTCATGAGAAAAGGAATCACTATCTTTTATTTAAATCCATACACCTATTCTCACTCTTCATCCGTTGAAGTCCCAGCACCTTTTAAAATAAAAGTATTTTTCCAAAAATAAAACCAAGAAAACAATTCAATTTACAATAACACCAAAAAGAATAACACACTTAGGAATAAATTTAATAAAAGAAATACAAGACTTACACAACAAAAACTGTAAAATACTGTTGAAAGAGATTTAAAAGTCATAAATAAATGGAAAGATATCTCATGTTCATGAATAGGAAGTCTTAAAATTGTTAAGATGACAATATTCCCAAGGGGTGAGAGGTGGGGGGATTGGGTAACTGGGTGATGGACATTAAGGAGGGCACGTGATGTAGTGATCACTGGGTATTATATAAGACTCATGAATCACTGACCTCTACCTCTGAAACCAATAATACATTATATGTTAATTAATTGAAT